ATACTTGGCGTCAAGAATCGATGCAGTATATCACGAAAAATAGAATCACGATGCATCATCATGACGATTATTTGGCACACCCCTGGTACAGACGGCAGCTGATATTCATCCATTTATACAAAATGGCCAAAACACAGTCACATGGTGTTTCATCCACACGCCATTCAAACAGGGCTTTAACATTTCTAAAACGTGTTTCAAAATTATTTTTTTTTAAATACTTTTTGTTTTATAGGTGTGTAAACAAATAAAAAGAGATAAAAACTCTGCGGGAGTAATGCAACAGCAGGTATTCATTCTTAGCCCCGCCCCCTAATGGCCGCCATCATTGGAAACTAGAAGCTCAGACCTTTCCAAGGACGGGTTGCAGCAGTAGCAGCTGGCCAATAGAAAAAAAGATATATTTTATATTATATTATTATATTTTTATATAATTTAAATGTATTAATATGAATTTCTTGGATCATGTGCAAGTTACATATTTAAGGTTTAATAACTAGTAAAGCGTCACTCAACTTTTCATTTTTCATTGGACCTGTGCAGTCGCTCATGTCAAGTCGCCATGTCTGTCTTGGCTACTGTTTACGAGTGTGTGAAAGCGGAAAGAAAGTAGTGGCATAATAGGTTTAGCGCCACCGCAGCACGGGAGGGAGAATTACATTCAGGAGCAAATGGATAAAAATAGACTGAAGGAAAAAAAGAATCGATTGATTCTCCTGCGGACGTGTCGACGCATCGGATCATCAGCTGTTGGATCGATGCATCGATACGAAATGATTATTATTTAAACTACTAGTTCCTTCTGGGTCCATCTGGTACCAAAGTTCTTCTCTCTCCAGTTTTCATTCCTGTGACCCGGTGTTAGATTTTACTCCATGTTTACCATCGGACCCATCAGAGGAACATCAGAATCTGTTTGGGTTAAAGAACACGACCCAGGAGGTTCTGACCCGTTTTATCTGCTTCTTTCATCTCGGTTTCCTTCCTGTCTGTTAGAACCTGAGAGGTTCTGCTGAGCTGCTGCTGAAACCCGGAGCAGGCCCGGTTCTACGGGCCGGGGAACGGCTCCCAGCTCTATGGAGGCAGGAATAATATCAGCTGATCTGACAGCTGATTGGTCCAGACAGGGGGTGATGTCACCAGAACGCTGCGGCGGCAGGAAGGCTGGGGGGTCCCAGGAGGATGGGTGTGTGTGGAGGTCTTTGTTCTGCTTCCAAAACAAACGGGCCTGAAGGGGAGAGGAAACACGCCGCCGCGCCACACGCTCCGTCGGCCAATCACGGCGCCTCTCTGCTCCTCCACCTGCTCCAGCGTCTCCTGGTGTGGAACCACCCGGATCTGACCAGACGGGATCTAACTGGGTCATGTGACGTGGCAGGAAATGGACCTGATACCTCAGAGCATGGACATGAAGCAGCACCAGAGGAGACCTGAAGGTCCGGTTCAGTCCGGTTAAACTGAGACCTGAACTGAGATGAGGAGCTCAGAGGAGGAGTTGAGAGGAGAAACTGAGAGAAGGAGCTGGTAGGAGGAACTGAGAGGAGGAGCTCAGAAGAGGAGCTCCACAGGAATGAGGAAACCTCCTCTGACCTTTGACCTTCCAAATCTGATGAGGAAACATCTGTTCTCTACATCTCCACCATCAGGTGGTTCCTTCAGGACCGCCGCTCCAAACCACAGAAGAAACATATTTGCTCCACTCAGCATCCAACCGTCATCCATCCATCCATCCATCCATCCATCCATCCTTCATCATCCATCCATCCATCCATCCATCCATCCATCCATCCTACCTTGGTCAGCTGTCCGCTCCTGGTTCCCACGAACACCACAGTGTGTTCTCCGTAGGTGTAGGCCGCCACGGCGCCCATCCCCTCGGTGCGGTCCTCGTACAGCGGGTGTCCCTCGATCACCCTCAGGCCTCCCAGCGGCTGGTTCAGCACCTGGCCGCAGAAATCGTCTCCAATCTGCTTCGGCTGCGGAAACAAACGGATGAACAGGTGGTGATAAGATGTTCTGCCTCCCAGCAGCTAAACTCTGGATCTGCTGCTGGTTTAAACAGCTGATAAGGAGTCAGGGGTCAGTATTCCATCCAATAACCTCCATTCTGAAATCTGGAAAGCATCAGAAGCAGAGAGAACCTGTCATTCAGATGGAAGCACTTCCTGTCAGTCGGCTCAGCACCATAGAAAGCTTTCAAATGTATCCAGATTTGGGTTTCTGGACACATTCAGACTGATTTTCAGCTTCAAAGTACGAACATGTTTTAATATCTGCACTCCAAGCTTTTAACAGCAGGAAAACGCTGTTAAAGGTTCGGCTGCCATCATGCAGATGAATCATCAAAGCTGAGTCATCTGGAATGATTCTCAGCAGGAGACACCTGGACCACCGAGAACCTCACAGCTCCAACCTTCCAACCTGAACCTCCACAGAGGAGGGGGAGGTCACACGTCACCAACACAGAAATCACATTCTTGGTAAATTTCTGGTTGTCAGAGAGCTTCCTGTTTTCCTCCCACAGTTCAGAGAGGATAAAGCCGGGAGGAGACGAGTTATTAAAGAGTGCACACACACTCAGAGGTCGGCTAACACCCTATCATTAACGGGTTAAAGCAGCGGAGCGCCGTAGAGACCAAACTCTCTGCCTTCCTCCAGAAACCTGAGCTCTCCTTCTGCTGACTTTTCTTTCATTTACAGCGACCTGAGCTGAAAAGCAGAAACATGAAGGAACCTCAAAATTCTACTCAGTTTATTTCTATAGCAACAATTCACATCATGTCATCTCAGGTCACTTTCCAGTTCACCAGATCATCCAGTCAGATTGATTCAAAGTTTTCTATCTAAGGAAAACCAGCTGATTGCATCGACTCATTGACTCTTCAGCAATCCCTCACACTAAGCATGCTTGTAGCGACAGTGGAGAGGAAAAACTCCCTTTGAACAGGGAGAAACCTCCAGCAGAACCAGGCTCAGTGTGAGCGGCCATCTTTATCGTCTCATAAAGACGTAGCATTTCCCATTTGTTCTTCATATTCTAATAAACCCCAAAGTTCGCACAATTTGACAGAAACAAAATGGACATTTAGCTCCAACCAGATAATTTCAGAAACAGGAAATGTTGCATTATTTAGCTAATTAGCTGTAGAGGAGAAACCCATTCATTACAGTTTTTATCTCTGTAATTTATCAATGTAATGCAAAGATTAAGGAGCGGATGTGAGACTAAACAGACATTTCACCTTAGCTTAGCTTGACTTTATCATACTTTATTACTTTTTTAGCATTCATTAGCTTCCCTTTCTCACTCATCCTAGCTTCTGCTAGCTTACATTATTTATTACATTATTAGGCTTTTATTAGCTTATCTACCTTACGCTTATCTTAGCTCGATAAGTTCTAGAATACCTTAGCTCAGCTCAAGTTTATTAATTAAAGACCAAACTTCTAGCTAACAATCTAGCTATGTTATGTTGTTTTAGCCTACCTTAGCTTATTTCACCTTATTCTGTTCTAGAATACCTTAGCTCAAGTTTATTATTTAAAGGCCAGACTTCTAGCTAACAATCTAGCTATGTTGTTTTAGCCTACCTTAGCTTATTTCATGTTATTCTGTTCTAGAATAACTTAGCTCAGCTCAAGTTTATTATTTAAAGACCAAACTTCTAGCTAACAATCTAGCTATGTTGTTTTAGCCTACCTTAGCTTATTTCATCTTATTCTGTTCTAGAATACCTTAGCTTAGCTCAAGTTTATTATTTAAAGGCCAAACTTCTAGCTAACAATCTAGCTATGTTGTTTTAGCCTACCTTAGCTTATTTCATGTTATTCTGTTCTAGAATACCTTAGCTTAGCTCAAGTTTATTATTTAAAGGCCAAACTTCTAGCTAACAATCTAGCTATGTTGTTTTAGCCTACCTTAGCTTATTTCATGTTATTCTGTTCTAGAATACCTTAGCTTAGCTCAAGTTTATTATTTAAAGGCCAAACTTCTAGCTAACAATCTAGCTATGTTGTTTTAGCCTACCTTAGCTTATTTCATCTTATTCTGTTCTAGA